CTTTAAAAGTAAAGATATATCAAAACTGTTAATTAGAAATGAATGAATTTAATTGATTTGAATTAAAGCATTCAAGATAATCTTAAATAATAATTATTAATTATTATATAAAAATTATTATGTTAAAGAGTAAAGGCAAATTCTTCTTCAAAACTCATTACAAATTTTTCTCCAAAACTCATCTGTATAAAGATAAAGATATATATATATATATTAGATGTTAAACAAAAGGTACTAACTTAAATACTGCCACATAATAAAGATGTCAATGGTTTTCACGACTGTTGGATTGCCATTCCAAATGCTAATGCCCTTCCATGGGTTTGCAAAGAAAACACCCGTTCACTAGGATTAGGCCCAAATCCAAAGCCCAAAAAACAAACCACCTCTCTCATCCTTACGTTGGGCTGGATTAATATGTAGACTGGATCAAAGAACCAGTAACTTGAAACGTTTCTTTGATAAATACTAGCAATATATTTTTTATTATTAATTAAATTTTGTTAAAAATTAAAAAATACGAGAGAAAAAAGTTAATCTAAAGTCTATCATTATCATAATCTAACGAAAAATATCAATTGAAGAACACCAGGTCATACTTAAGAAATAAATTTAAAATGTAATTTTTTATATATTCTTATAATTTTTAAAAACCTTGAGGACGAAAACCCCCCATAGATATATTTGAATTTTTTTTAATTAACACCCCTAAAAGTCAATATGCACTTGTTCCTTAATCGAAAAGGAATTATGGTGCTGGAGAGCTACAGCATTATTGATTTTGAAAACGACTTGGCTGACCCATTCGATTCGATAGGCATAGCCTTCCATGTATTTTAACATTATTCAATCTGCTTAGCTCACGTAAGCATAAAGCGACACGCTCAAATATACATTTCATAATTCATTTCATTGTTTTAAAATAGATTGACACGGGATCCGTAAAACGCTTTTAAAAATCATGTGGAAATTCCAATTTTATTTTTTTTAACACATATAACATTATATACAGTAATTTTTATTAAAATTATAAACTTTAAATATGCGATATTAAATGTAATAGAAATAAATTAGTTATTATTATTAAATGTTATACTTTTAATAAAAATTGTTTTCCATTATTTTTTATTATATATAATATCGTACAAGTTAAAAATTTAAATTAATGGTTCAAGGAAGGATAAATCTCATTTGCTTGTAGTTTTTAATAGAAATTTATTTATTATTTGTCAATTTAACAAAAACAAAGGAAGGAGAGATCGAGATCCACACTTATCCTTCTCTGACCTGAAAACAAAACATTTCTTTTTTAAATGTGTGATACCTTTCAGTATAATTTTTTTCCCCTAAAAATACATGGCTTCATCGTTCAAACATTAAAAAAAAAATTACTAGGTTTGATTTTTTGCGTTTCTTTATTTTTTTTTTCTAAATTTCATCTGCTTTACATTTTCACATATTAAATCAAATAAATTATTTATAAGATTTATTTAATATCTTATTATTTATTTGACCCCGTGTTAATTTTAATTTTAAAGTATTTTTTTGTTATTTATATGGCAATGTAAAAATTTTATAAATTGAATTGTTTTTATTTTTCTTAAATTAAAATGCCCATATAATCATAACATATTTCTTAATACTATTCAATTTAGAGTTGCCACAAGTCATGTATTATTATAGTTTTAAAGTAAAATGTTTTTCATTCTCGGTAAATATAATAAAACATATCATATTATCTACTAATTTAAAATAGCTTTTGATGTGGCGTATTTAAATATATATACCGTGTTATTATTAAATAGCAATGAATATAAAATTTAACATTTTTTACATTTAAAGGGACTGAAAATATATTTAATTATACTAATTTATTTCTTAAACAAAATCCATCACACCCCGTGTGGAGGAAGATAAGCTTTGCTTACGCGTAATCCCACCAACTGTTTTAGGTGATTACTTGTTAAGCTTTTAAACTTGTTGTAATCAAATAAACGGTCCCTCCAGAAGACCAGAAGTGAATAGGTTTTGCATAACTTGGTACTACCTGAAGCTTCACTGTTTTACTTTATATATTTTATTGCAAGATGAAGATCTAATTTTTCATATGGGGAAATAAACTAACTATATGCATATGAAATATTTCTAGTGTTATTTTTATTCAAAATTAAATTTTTATTTTAATAATCTTTACATTCAAGTTCAAAATAAAAGAACATCAATAATTACATTAAAAAAATTTATAATATTATCCTTAATTTTTATGTTGTTTAACATGTCTATGGAGCATATTCGCGCGTATATGCTCAATTAATCAGCACGGGAGATAAAGGATGGTGTGTGTAGGTCCTAACGGAGGTTGTTTCAAATAGCTTTTATGATTTTGTGACGTGTCTCTTGAACAACCATGGTCCGCACCTCGAAACTAAAGTCTGCTTATAAACGTAGATTTTTGGAATATATATATTAATAATAAAAGTAGCGTGATATAATAAGGTAATTATCATTTTTTTACAAGTGTACAAAATTTTATAAATTATATTTTTAAAATCAATAATTAAATTGATAATATAAATTTTTAAATTAGAGACTTAATGGTGGTGAATGCACGGTGTTGCTATTAGCACTCCAATCGTAATTTTGTTTATTACAAACAAAGTTAACTATAAGTTTTATTTAAATTAATTATAATTTATTTTGTTTTTGGTTTTATCCCAGTGATTTAGATTTTGGTGAATATTTTAAGGATAACTAGCTGCATGTAGATACTTATCTAAATCAATGCCTATTTAACGATTTTTCTTTATATAAGAATTTGTGAAACGAAATTAATTATAAATTTTATTTAAATAAATTTTAAAAACTTAAAAGGCGTATACCTTTTTTTGACATTTTTCTCATTAAATTTTTATACAATCCTATTTCGTGTAAATGCTAGTTTAAAATAAAATGATAAAATATGTATTTTTACTTATTTTTAAACTCTAACACTGTTGATAAATATTCATAAAAAGGCATCGTCAATAAATAAGCAAGTCTATTGAACATATTGACAAGTCTTTAAAAAAAAAAACTTTTATAATCTTTACATTTGATAAAAAAATATGTTCAATAGTTAAGAGATATCTTTAGTGTTGAACAAACTTTGAACTAAAATAAAGCGTAATTTTTGCACTCAATTTTTTTTCGATATTATTTGGCATTCTATTTTATACCTGTAATATTCAGGTGTGGCTAATTTGACCGAATCATGTATGGATATTCTATTCCAATTTCAAACGCAATTACTAAGATATGCATTATAAGGTTGTTGTGTGTGCTTTCGATCAATGAAATACTAGTGAGTTTTTCTTTCTCTACGTACTATATTTTTTCTTACGGGTAATGTTAAATTATAATATATTAAAAAAATAAAGATACACTGTATCATTCTTAATTTTTTTATAAATTGAAAAATAATAAATATTTTATTTGTTAACAATAAAAAAGTATTATGTTGAATAAAATTACATTAAAGAGATGAATAAAAAGATTGTTAGTTTTTACATCCTTTTTCATGGAGTCATCAAGCATAAAGAATGGTTTAATTCTAGCTTTTAGGAGCTTGGTTGTAGAAACATGATTTGTAAAACAAAATCTGCTGAAGCACGCTGGCTTAGTGCATAAGATTGGATGATAGACTCTCACAAATATGGGACCTTCATTGTCGATATACATCATCCAATTCAAAGAATCTGGGACATCTCTATCAAGCATGCATGAGCTAAGGGAAGCCAATCAAAGCACAAACTGCTTCGCCAAACTGAAAGCCACCGGTAATGACAAGTTCATTAGAGTGAATACCTCTTCAGCGGATCTTCGTATTTTCATGTTAGTTGACAAACTAAATGAAATATTCCAATCTCGAGGCTTGTGATTCTTTCTCTGTTTTCGGTTTTTCCTTTCCCTATCTTTAAAAGAATCTTATATATTTTCCAATTTTTCCTCTTTTGTTATTAGACATTTTTTTTAATAGTTCAATTAATTGATAATATAAACTATAAAATATTAAATGTATTGTAAGAATGTAGTTGAATTTGGAAAAAAGAAAAGTGAAATGGGACGTATGTGGTTTAAGTTTACTACGAAATACCAAAGATAAAGTTTATCTTCGGTTACTGTGATCATGGAAACATGCGCGGTTAATTAGAAAAATAGTTTTGCAAATTGTTTAAAAAATAAAAATAAAATCCTAATTAAAATTTACGCAAAAAATAAATTTTTTACAAGCTAAGACAATATATTAAATACATTAATAATGATTTTTAATAGATTTAACTAACACTTCCAAAGCATTAAATAACATTTGACTTAGAAAAAACTACAATCCTACAGTAAGAGATTGCTTTTAAGGTAATGCATCCTATCAATAATACAAATAACGAGATGTATATCGTAAATTTGAAGCTCTCACTGTCTTGTATCTTGCTAATTTTAAAAATAATCATTAAGTGTTTCATTTAAGAATAAGATGAGATGAATAGGATTAAGTTTTATATGATGCAAACTTAATTTGATTCTTAAAATTAAGACCGAAATTTATTTTATTTGCCTGATATAAGTTATTCTTTTAAGATGTGATTTACCAATTTAAAAAAAGAATCTGAAGAATGAATTTAAATATCCCAGAACAATAAACTTGTTTTTGAAAGGATATTTAATAAACTTTGATGTAAAATGGGGATATGTGGAATGGATGAATGTGAATATCTGGAGCGTATTATTTCCGTGGGCAAGAAGCCATTATAAAATACGCCTTGCGGGGAAGGGAACAAGACCAAAAAATTCAGATACAATCATATGTCAGCGACGCATTGGTTGGGCAATTAAGCAAAGCTAATAAATAAAGAGAGCGTACGATATTTCCACGCCAAGCAAACAAAAAAAGAAGAAGACATTATATATAATATTAGTAGTGTATGTATACAGGTGTAGAATGAAAGAGAGAAGGAAAATAATGAGGACAGGTAATGATGACGTGGACGAATGAAAGAGAGGTGAGGGCGTTGAGTGGATCCACCACCTCACCATAAAGCCTGTGGTGTGCCTTCACATTCAAAAGCGCCGAAAGAAAAACAAAACCTAATAACGCCATAGCGTTCCCTAACCCGTCGTGCGAGGTCCCTCGACCTCCGCACAACCCCACCGCCCAGTGGCCCATGTCCCAACCCGATGAACCCAACGCGCCGCCGCCGCACTTCCTGCTCCACCGTCCGCCGCTGATGCACCCAGCGTCCGCGTCGCCGCTGTTTAAGCAGCGATCCTGGTCGCCCGATGCCTATCGCGACGAGGCGTGGCTCCGGCGCAAGGGGAACTGGAAGAACCGTCGCAGCAAGAGCGTGACCGACGAGGACGTTGACGAACTCAAAGCTTGCATTGAATTGGGCTTCGGATTCGATTCCTCCCCTGAGGTGGAACTCGACCGTCGTCTCTCCGATACGTTACCCGCTCTCGGCCTCTACTACGCCGTCAACAAAACCTACAACGATTCCCTCGTCCCCAAAACGACGCCGTCTTCTCCCGATTGCGACAGCACTCCTTCTCCCCATGGCAGTCCCATCTTCAGCACGGGTAATTAAGATAACTTATAATTCTTAATTATAATTAACTCGGGTTAATTAAGATCTGCAGCTTTTTTGTTTAATTGTTTTTGTCCTGTGTTAATTAATTATGCAGGTGATAATCCTCAGACGGTGAAGACAAGGCTGAGGCAGTGGGCTCAGGTTGTTGCTTGTGCTGTGCGTCAAAGTTCAAGCTGAATGATTAATGGGTGATGTGATAATTTGTTGAATCGGGATTAACCAGGGTTGTGAAACTTAACCATACAATAGTGCTTGTGTGATATGAATGACAACGATTCCCCACCCAACCCAACCCAACGCCGAACTTTACTTAACCACCCAATTGTCTCGGAACCAAACTAGTTGGTTAGTATTATGTGTGGGGCTGTCGGCAGCCTCTTGTTTTGTACTGTACTTGTCCAATATATATATATATATATATATATATATATATATATATATATGGGATCCCTAAGGTAGATCTATTATATCATATGATATATATTAATATGCTAGCCGTACAATAGTTTTGTTTTGTTCAAGAGGTGTGAAAAAATAGTCAAAAGATGTTTCTACTGCGTTTGAATCTAGTGCTGTTTGCTACTTTTTTGGGTATTCTGTAATTCTCTATCCTCTTGGGCTTGCTACTTTTGTTCAAAAGCAAGGCCAAGGGAGAGGAATATAACATTCTTGTAACTCTGACAAAGGATTGACTTGCTAGAGGAATACAGCTTGCTTTCTAACATGGGTTGGGCTGTGTACGACTCAGCGTGTTTCTTTCGTGAAAGGCAAGACAGAGGAGCTTCAAATTTCAACTTGGAACCGAACCTTCTTCTATTCATGTATGTCATCCATTGCGAATATTGCGGTGCTGGCAATACTTTTTGGGTCTCTGACTGCTTGTACTTTCTAGCCTATCTGTCATCACTCTTGAAACGAGTTGAGTGTTGACTATGGTACGGGTTTGCACCTTACGATGGAGGCTACTGTAACAAAACGGAAATTACAGTGGTTGTCAAGTGTTAAAACACCAATATTGTTGAAGGTCCTGTTGCAATGAAAAGTTGAAGGTTTAGATGAACGATATGTAGCTTAGGGACAATCGTCATTAATTAGCTACAGGCGAGTGATCGCGGAAAACGTTAGATCGAATCACTTGTACATAGGGAAAACAAAATGAGATAGAAATTGCAAATCCACGCATTTGTTGGCGATTTTAGAATGAGGAGAAAACAAAAGCATTGTCATTGCAATATATTTACCAAAAAACACCGTTGCTCCACTCAAAATGCCATGATCTCTATAAAAGTTATATACGGTAGCAATGTTAAAATGTTTTTCGCTCCATTCATTTGCGTCAAATGAATTCACACAAATGCCAAAATATTCAATTCAATTGAAGTAATTGATAACACCAATCTATAATTTATTGTGATTATGATAATCCAACCCAACAAAAATTATCATTTTTCTCGCCATTTTTTCTTATGTATGTGATGTTAGCACTTTTAATGTGTTCATTAAGCAGATGTAGATATGTGCGTATAAACGTAGATTATGAATATTATAATCTTGATCGTAATGTGTCGTATTTAATTTCTTTATTTCAAATTTAGTATATATAAATAATTTTTCTTTTCAATTCAATTTCAATATGAAATTCGTGTATCATAAAATTTTTCTGGAAGTAATTACTATAATTTAATCAAATATTTCCATTTAAATCAATAGAATAGTGCAATAGCATAAAACTTCTAAAATTATCATAATCAAAAGTAAAGAAAAAGGCTATACATAAACTTCACAGTACAGTATAATAATTTACAAACTGTATGTTTGAGTATTTAAAGATCAAAATAATAATTACAACACCAAACACTACAAAAGGATTCCAGAGCAGCTTCAGTTAAGCATTCCAACTCTTTATCTCAGTTAGATCCTCGGAGTCTAAGTCGTCATCAGATCTCAAATACCAATCGCCAGAGTCAGCTTTGACCTCTGTTCATGTGACGCGCTCAAAGGTCCAACGGGTAGGTCTTCCTAAAGAGTTGTGGTCATAGTAGGTGTATAAGTAAGCAAGGCCTACTGGAGTTCTAACTGTACCCCTATACATATATGTACATAAGATTTGGTGTATCCTACTCCTAGGGAAGTCGAATGGAATACTACAAGCAAAATCCATCTTTATCATGACATAAACCCTAGGGTCATTCTCTACCAATACAACAAATTTAAAATGATTTACACGCTGGTATTCATTAAATACGTAATTTAATCTAAAGTTTACAGAATTATCTATTAGCTTAACTCTTCCCTACGGATTCGTCATCCTGGTTTCCTGAAATTATCAATAAGGATGAGCACCTATCTTATCATTTAAAACATAATATTATTTTAAAGACTAACATAAAAGTACAATCATGGTCATGAAATACAAGGAATCATAATAATATAAATATCAAAGCAATATATTAGACATACACATATTCATAATTATTATGTTACTCACTTTCGGACACGCACATTCAGTGCACTGTGATCATAATTATACGATGCCTTCAGCAGTTCTTGAGATCCTACACAATTAGGTAAATAGTTGCCGGTTAGCCCATGTATACGGATACAACATATACAATAACGGGTCCCTTAGCAAAGGTATAGTTAGGAAACGAGTGTGAGGCCATGTGGTGCATTCGCTACAGCGATAAATTCTCGCTACAATGAACCCTTCTCTCGCTGCAGCAAAAAAATCAGACAAAATTGCACTTTGCTATCTGTCATTCTAATTACAGCGAGAGCTCCTCGCTACAGCGAGAGAGCATCGGAATGCTTGATTTCTGGATGCTTTTCTCGCCACAGCGAGATATCCTGCAACCTACATCATTTAAACTCTCTAAAATTCAAATAACTTCACAAATATAATCAACATTCAATGCTATAATAAAAAATATAAAAACGAGGATATTACATCGTACATTTATGTTTCATTAATAATTATTTTGAGTAACATATAATATACATGTACATGTATGTCATGCTATAAATAAATAATAATAATAACAGCTAATGTTAAAACTAAACCAACAAATTTCAAAAGAAAATAGCAAAATTTAAGGTTTTTATTTGGAAAAAATTGAAAAAATTATTAAAATATAGTGTTTTGAAAAAAAATTACGAAAATTTGAGAACTTTTCAAGAATTGTCTTTTGGTATTTAAAATTTTTATTATTATTTTTTAGCAATTTTTTATTTTTTTATTTTTTTAAAAGATTCGTTGACAAGCTTTGCTTTTTGATAACTTTTTAAATTTTTTCTTAAATTGCACTGATAATTTTTAAAATATGCTATTTTTTCGTTGTTTTATAGTATCTTCACAAAAAAATTGTTAATGGTGATTTTTTAACTTTATATTTTTGTTATTTAAAAAAACATACTTTGTTATATATTTTTAAATTCTATATATTAAAAATTAAACCAAAATTTAATATTTTTGCGTAGGCTACAAACATTTCGAAAGGTCCCTGTGCCTCGGTACCTTCAAATTTTTGCTTGCTTAGTATTTAGTATTTACTAATGTGGTGCCAATCCATACCGTCACCCATTGCCACCCTATTTTATGTTCTCAACTGCAATTCAAGACTCAGCAACCACAGTGAGTAGTATGCTACGAGTAGACAATTGTGAGAGCATTCACCATGGTCAATCCAGGACTGAAAGGATTCTCTGTTACATTGTGTTTGTTTTTTAAGGAATTGTATTGAAAAATGTTATAAGGGTAAAAGCTTTGTTATATATCGCTGACAAAATTTACTTTCTGTTGGACCATCATTAACTTATATCATAAATAGCAGTGGAATTTTAGGTGGGAAGAGTCAGTGTTATATATGTTTACGGTGAAAAATGACAGTTGTAAACAAATAATCCAAAGATCAATCTGGGGACTGGATTTAGGTCCTCTTTGGGTTCTTTTAAGTGTGTTGTTAACGTGATGCTCAAATTAACGGCGTAAAAGAGTATTAAGCGGGAATAGTGAATAATAAATGTGCAGAATTAAATCAAACGTAGATGCTTTTACAAAAATGTAACAAACAGGAAGCCAAGAGTGTACAAAGATACAAGCAACGAATACTGAAATTAAAATGCAGAAAGGTAAATGTAGAGATTTAAAGGTGCGTGAATATAAACGTACGACTCCTCGCAACGGCGAATAGCGGCCACCGTAGGTCTCCTTGTAGCTGGTGTCTGGCGCGGTGCAGGGTTTCGGCGTCTCAGAGTGTTTAGGTGCGGTGTCTGGGTGCAAAAAGTCGTCCTTTGTGAAATAATGCTTTGTAGTATTTATAGACATGAAGATCACCACCGTTTTCCATCTTTTGCGGGCACTTCTTAGTAACTGCCTTCAACTGTTGATGCTCACTATCCACGATTGCTTGTGATCGTGCTGTTTGTTGGAGCTGTAACCGCTATCGCCCATGATCTCCTTTGCGTAGTGGTGAATGTTGATAACTACTGGTAACCGCTTTTGGATTTTTCAATACTCCTATCTTTCGAGTATTTCTGAGAGAAACCTAGAAAAACTCTTTTAATGTTATGGCCTTGGAATAGTTTCTTCTTGACTTCTCTTTTCGAGCTATTCTGGAGTTTTGAGAGTTTGTCTGGGTCTTGTGGACTTAGAACATTTTGCTCATTTCTATTTTTCGAGCAATTTTGGAGAGACTCTTGAGCTCGACCATATTTGTGGACTTAGAATATTTTCTGACCACTTCTTGTTTTTCGAGCGATTCTGGAGGAAATCTGGAACTCAGCCAAGTTTGTGGACTTAGAATATTTTCTTACCACTTCCTGCTTTTCGAGCAGTTTTGGGTGTCAGGTACTTGGAAACTCATCAAATATTCCTCAAAAAGCCATCAGTTTTTTGTGGACTTAGAATATTTTCCTGTTAGTCCTGTTTTTCGAGCAGCTTTGGGTGTCAGGGACTTAAAAACTCCTCGAAAAACCATCAGTTCTGTGGACTTGGAATATTTTCTTGCCAGTTCTATTTTTCGAGTAGTTTTTGGTGTCAGTGACTTAAGAATTACTCAAAACTTCTCGAAAAAGCCTTTAGTTTTGTGGTCTTAGAATATTTTCTTGTCTTTCAAGCAGTTTAGAGAAAAATCAACAATGTGACAAAAATCTCTTAAAATAGCTCGAAATGTGTTCTTTTTAATTAAAACCAAAGATCTTCCAATATTCTCTTATGTTCAGGTTTATCTTTGGCTCCTTCTTGACCCTCAAAACTTGTTGAGATGTAGTTTCCTTCAAGATGATTTTTAACTTAGAAAATTTTCCTTATCCCAAACAATATATATATAAAGTTGTAAATTTTTTATTAAAATTTATTTTTTATTTCATTTAAACAGTACATATTTTTAATTGTTTTATTTCCTTTTTTGTTTATTTATTTCCTACCTATTTTTCATTTCTTCCGAACATTGCAAATTCATTTCTAACTTTTTATTTTATTCTTGCCATGGGGATGCCGGCATTGAATTTCAAAACCAGAGACAAACATATTTTGGATTGATTATCCTTGACCATAGATAGTGGAATGGTGAACAGACGTATTTGGCACTTAACTATTAAGAAAATATTCAAAATTAATTATAGTTTAAGGTTTTCAATCAACAATCTCCGTCCTCTTCCTTGGTTTTAAAAAATAAGTAAGACTCAAATTTGAGTGAATATAATTGTTTTAATTATCTGGGAGAAAATTTTGACCGTTTATAGGTGTTTTATTTTATTCAAACGAGTTTGTTTCTAAAAAAGGAAAAAAAAAAGTAAATTCAAACTGATAAAAAAAAACTTATAATTTTTTTTAACTTTTTTAATCAAATAAAAAAGACATCAATGATTTGTTTCTTCTCAAAACAAACGAGCTCGCACACAGATTTGTATTAAAATAACCTTTTGTCCATCAATTATGATTTCTTGACACATATTGAAAGTACTTAAAGAGGTAAATAGAAATGAAAAAGAGGGAGCGATAAAATATGATAAATAATATAATAATAATTAAAATAAATAAAAATAATTGTGAAATAAGAAAACAACTATTGAAAAATTTGTGTAATGCATATAATAGTTGTTTATTTTATTTTATTTTATTTTGCTGAATGGAAAAGAAATACAAAAGAATTAGGTTCTAAGGAAAATAGTGCCAGCTGCATCTAGTGCTAGACTTAAGTGAACATAAGGAGGAAGAAATCAGCACCTTTTTTTGCTAGAATATCTTTACAACAATTCCCAATCATATCAAGTTATTCACTTTTACACATGGCACGTATGTCCTCGTTCAATTACATT